AACAAAAGTATGCATGGTTTTTTGGAATGCCAATCACAATGCACTCTGTGGGTTACATGTGTCTAGTAAGGAATGCAACTATGGCTAAGTCTTTAACTGCTGAAACGATCAGGAGATAAGCCATTCAATCACACAAAATAACTTAATATTCTGCTGCAGAGTGCTTCATAGGTAGGCACTGCAGCCCTGAGTTGGATCACATTAATAAAAGAGAGAATCCTCACAGCTTCCAAACTACAGAAGGCAAAAAAAGAAAAATAATCATTTGAGATGTTTCTATCAGATTAACATTGGCTTTAACAATAAATTAAATCCAGGGCATAACAGCAAGAGAGATTATCTACTTGACATCAAAGATCACAGTTTTCATAAAGATAATCCTAGAGGGATAGAGCATTAGTCTGGAAGAAGAGTTGGATTTATACCCCGCCCTTCTCTGAGTGGTTTACAATCTCTTTCCCTTCCCCTCGCCTCACAACAGACACCCTGTGAGGTAGGTAGGGTTGAGAGCTCTGAGAGAACTGCAGTGATCCATCTAGTCTAGCACTCTATCTCACACAGTAGCCACCCGTTCCTCTGGAGGGCCAACAACAGGGCATAGATGCTGAGACTATCCCCTGATGTTGCCCTCTGGCACTGGGATTCAGGGGTTGACTGCTTCTGAACGTGGAGGTTCCCCTCAATCACCACAGTTTAGCAGCCACTGACTATTCCTGCCCCCATCACGGTATCCTCTGGAAGTGAGTTCCACATTTTAATCCCCCTCTGTGTAAAGAACTATTGAACAGGACTCCAGTGCAAACTTTAAAGACTAACAAGATTTATTCCCACATAGGCTTTTGCCAGTGACAGCTCATTTGTTAACTTTTAAAGTATCACTGGACTCCTGCTTAAGCTTTCAGAAACCTAGAAAGGAGTGGAAGGGGGCGGAAGGCAGTACAGGGGCAGGAGGCAGAAACACAGTGAGGTCCTAAGGTCCCCATCAGGGGGGAAAAGCAGGGCACAAATATCCACAGAAATAACTACAGAAGAGTTGCAAAATCCGCAAAAGAGCTCAGGTATTCCCAGCCAAAAAGCAGGCTCTATTTTGAAGGCAGAGGCAGCCCCAGCGCTCCTCTACCTTCACTTGAAGCGGCATGTAATCCTCGCAGAGGCTTTCCCACAGCTCCTGGAGGTCAGCCATCTCGGAGGGAAAGGCGAAGGCAGATCTGGCGGGGGGCTTCCCCGGCGACTTCGGCGAGCCCTCCAAAGCCGCGCCTCGGTCTCCGGGCTCCTGGCAAAGGGCGCTCGACTTGACCGGCACCGGCAGCTTGCTCCCCCGGGGGCTGCGCACCGGCTTGCAGTCAAAAGCCCGGACCAGGCTGAGGGCGACGTCCAAGCGGTTCCCGGGCAGCGACCCGCTGTGGGAGCCGGAGCAAGAGTCGCACTTGCCGCTCCGCCGGGCCTCGTTGTCCGCCTCCTCGTCCCTCTGCGGAGAAGGGCTGGTCGTCGTCGCCGCCGCCAGCAGCAGCGCCGGGTCCAAAGACTCCACCGAGGAGGAGCCGGGAGTCCCTTCCTCGCCGAGGCTCCCCCCATCCAAGGGCGTCTTGCCGCCGGGCAGCAGCTCGCCGGCGGGGGGAGAGTCCTCGGGGCAGAGGCTGGGCGACCACCGAGCCGAAGCCGGCCCGC